AAACTAACCAAGGAGAGAAGCTACCTAGAGACTAAGGAGAAATTTCCTTAACACTGAGAACAATAAACCAATGAATAGAATAGAATAGAATAGAATAGAATAGAATAGAATAGAATAGAATAGAATAGAATAGAATAGAATAGAATAGAATAGAATAGAAGTCGAGTCGAGTCGAGTTGAATTGAATTGAATTGAATTGAATTGAATTCTTTATTGGACAAGTGTGATTGGACACACAAGGAATTTGTCTTGGTGTATACACTCTCAGTGTACATAAAAGAAAATATACGTTCGTCAAGAATCATAAGGTACAACACTTAATGATAGCCATAGAATAGATAGGATAGAATAGAATAGAATTTTTTATTGGCCAAGTGTGATTGGGCACACAAGGAATTTGTCTTGGTGCATACGCTCTCGGTGTACATAAAAGAAAAGATACGTTCGTTAAGAATCAAAAGGTACAACACTTAATGATAGTCATAGAATAGATAGACTAGAATAGAATTTTTTATTGGCCAAGTGTGTTTGGACACACAAGGAATTTCCCTTGGTGCATACGCTCTCATACTGTTGTTCCGCCAGGCCGGGCTATCGACATGATAATTTTAAATTGGGGTATTTTAAATTTCTGGGGTTTTAAATGGAGCCAAATTTATTTAATAATTTTAAATTTTAAATTGATGTTTGTCTTGTGTTTTTAAATAGGCTGTACACCGCCCTGAGTCCTTCGGGAGAAGGGCGGTATAGAAATAAAATTATTATTATTATTATTATTATTATTATTATTATTATTATTATTATTATTATTATTATTAAAGATACGTTCGTCAAGAATCATAAAGTACAATACTTAATGATAGTCACAGGGAACAAATAAGCAATAAAATCATATTAGGAAACAGTCAATATAAATTGTAAGGATACCAGCAACAAGGTTACAGTCATACAGTCATAAGTGGGAGGAGATAGGTGATAGGAATGATGAGAAGATTAATAGTAGTGCAGATTTAGTAAATAGTTTGACAATGTTGAGGGAATTATTTGTTTAGCAGAGTGATGGTGTTCGGGGAAAAACTGTCCTTGTGTCTAGTTCTTCTGGTGTGCAGTGCTCTATAGCGTCATTTTGAGGGTAGGAGTTGAAACAGTTTATGTCCAGGATGCAAGGGCTCTGTAGATATTTTCACAGCCCTCTTTTTCAATAAAATAGCTTGTGGGTGCTCTATCACTGGAGTCTTTCAGTCCAAACCTCTACCCAAGTAAAAGACTCTATACCAGGGGTGTCAAACTCAATTTCATTGAGAGCCGCATTAGGGTTGTGTTTGACCTCAGGGGGGCTGGGGTAGGCGGGTGGTCAGTCACTTGTGTTGGGGGGCGCCTGTGGTGGCCCAAGCACTTTGCCAGCAAAAACGGGCTCCCGAGCTCCATTTCCGGCTGCGACAGCCTCCTACAACATTCTTCCAGCGAAAATGGAGCTCAGGAGGGGGCCGCCCCCAGCTATCCTCAGCTTAGTTTTCACTGGCAGAGGCACTGGGGCTGGGGCTTCACTGTTTCCAAGACTGCCCCGTGGGCCAGATCTAAGCACCCCGCAAGCCAGATCTGGCCCTCGGTCCTTGAGTTTGACACCACTGCTCTATACCATTTCAGACAAATTGGATGTCTTATCCAGGAGTGGATTCTAAAATTTTTTACTACCGGTTCTGTGGGTGTGGCTTATTTTGTGGGCGTGGCTTGATGGTCATGTGACAATTCTTTAGGATTTAGCAGAGGTACTGGTCTACCAGGCTTTTAACTGCTTGCAGAGCTGTACCAGTCTACCCATTTATTTTTGCAGGCACTGGTCTACCCATTTATTTTTGCAGGCACCGGTCTACTCATGTATTTTTGCAGGCACTGGTCTACCCATTTATTTTTGCAGGCACCGGTCTACTCATGTATTTTTGCAGGCACTGGTCTACCCATTTATTTTTGCAGGCACCGGTCTACTCATGTATTTTTGCAGGCACTGGTCTACCCATTTATTTTTGCAGGCACCGGTCTACCACCAAACTGCCTTTTACCACTGATCAGCTGTAGGGCGGCCCTTTGAAGCCCCACAGCAAGAGTTTAAACAGTTTTTCCTTATATCCCATCAGCTGGGACTCAGGAGGCAGCAATAGATTAGGGGTGGGGCCAAATAAAAGGTAAGAATAACACCGGGGGGTGGGGTGGGGATGGGGCAGAACCGGTTTGGTGACGTCATATTGTCACCGCTACTGGCTCAGCGGAACTGGGCGGAACCGGGAGGAACCCACCTCTGGTCTTATCTATCCTGATCTTTATTATCCTGGCCTTCTCCTGCCCAGTATGCCTTTGCTTGTATCACTTCTGTGTAATAGAGGCACAGTCCCTCGGCAGCTGGGATGGCTCTCACGCCTTGGATGTGTTGGAAGAAACTTCCTTCTGGGTTCTGCTCCAAGTGGGGAAAACAGACACTGGAAACATGGAGACTGCTTGGAAAGATGGTTTAATGGTGGACAGGATCACATGGCTTGAGTTCCTGAACAGAAAAGGGGCTGATACAGTAAATCTTCTGGTTTTTATGCTCTCTCTGGCTCTGCATTTCTTGGGGCCCCAAAAGAGTATCCTGATTGGTTGTCAGACTCCCAGGGGGTGGGGGCCTTGCTGGCTGATGGTCACATGTGCTTCCCATGTGGTGAGTTTCTGCTGCTATTGTGTAGAGGGCTAATCCTTGTTGGATCTTTGGCAATTCCTACTATGGCTCTGCCTGAAGGAGGTAGATCTTTGTTATGTAGAATAGACTGGCCCAGGCCTTAATGGCCCATTGACAAAGGGTGGGGGGCAGGAAGGTGGGAGCTGCTTCTCCCAGGGAACATGCTTCTCCCAGGGAAATATAATATTCTGCCTTTTTCATATTTCCTAAAATATTTCACTCTTCCAGGAGAGGGGTGGGTGCTAACTTCCTACAGATGATCCAGCTGGGAGTATACATTTTCATATACAGTATAAAGAATACAGTTTTGGCATATTTTCTTGATGTTTTTCATTCATCCCTCTCAGGAGCACCCTCTACCCGATGAGGCAAAACAGCCAGACTTGGAAGGGGAGGGAGGGTTGCTTTTGTATTGATTGCATCTTTCACCCAGCACTCTCCAATTTCCACAATTCTAGCCTGCCTGGACTCTTGCAGGTGCTGCAAGAAAGTGCCGCCAGGGGGCGCCCTCTTCAAAATAATGTTACCTTCGGAAGCCAAGTGAGCAGGTCCAGAAGAGCCACCATCAATTATGGGAATAGATTGGGGGGGGGGGATGAGGATCCTTTCTAGAGTTTTACTTCTCTAGGCAGGGACACTCTCTCTCTTTAACCCTTTGAGTGCTGACATAAAAAGAAGAAACAGTAAATGTGGATCTTATCTTCCAAGATGAAAAAAAAAAAGACAATTATGTGCATTTGAATAAGAATCAGGGAACAGCAGTGTCAACATTTCACCTAGCATTGCACACCACAAAGAGGATTAGACCCCCTGATGGGTCTATGTGGGGGGTGGAGGGTACATCTGGAGACTCCTGAAGAAGAGGAAACGGGAAATTCACGGCCTGCAATCCCAGGGGCTCCTCTGATAAACCCTCCCTCATCTTTTGCTTGAGCTCAGGACATAATAATCTCATTGCAGTAATTAAGCTTGGATGTACATTTGGTGTGTGACTGGATCAACCTCCCAATTCAAAGGCAGAAAATGGAGCAGAAGTAACCAAGACATGATTTTTTAGATATCCCATTGAAAAATTATATGCTGAAAGCCTGATCAGCCAACAAACCGCCTTCAAATGTACCTCATACAAGTATTGAACACCTGTTGCAAATCAAACTCAACTCTTATTGACTTCATAGGTGCATCCATGCCATTTTTTTAGCCACAGAGTGAAACTGGTTTCTTTCTTTTTTTTCTTTCTTTTCTTTTCTTTTTCTTTATTTTGTAAGGTCCCAGATGTTTCCCCAAGCCACTGAGATGCCAAAGAGTGAGATGAGGCTTGCAAAAAAATCATTTTTTTATTCTTTGGCCAAAGTAAAAAGTCTGGGTGATACTATTTCCAAAACAGACAAAAGCATATAAGGAATAGACACATACTGCAAGAGTGGCTCAGAGTATTATATACGTTTTATGCCGATAGAAACAAAGTTTATCCAATCAGACAAAGGTTCGTCACCAACGTAATTTTTCTTTGTTCAGGCCCCTGAACATGCTTTGCTATCTTACAGAGTATCTCTTATCCTTGTGTGTTCGGGCTCCTAGATGGCCCCCCTTTATCTATGGACCAGGATGTTCCTCGGAACTGTCTCCAAGGATGTGCCTAGCTCTGAAATAAATTACAGAAGCGAGAAACCAGATAGAAAAGGATATAATTCTCTTACAGAATGAATTCTTAACAAATGATTTCTAACCATAGCAAAACAAGCAACTTCCTTAACAGAAGCAAAGAGCAAAGGTTAGATTGATTCGTATCAATATGGCCTTTCATTTTCTTTCTTTCTTTCTTCTTTCTTTCTTTCTTCTTTCTTTCTTTCTTTCTTTCTTTCTTTCTTTCTTTCTTTCTTTCTTTCTTTCTTTCTTTCTTTCTTTCTTTCCTTTCTCTTTCCTTTTTTCTTTCTTTTTCTTCTTTCCTTTCCATTTTCTTTCTTTCCTTTCTCTCGCTCTCCTCTTTTTTTCTCTTTCTCTCTCTCACTCGCTCGCTCTCTTTCTTGTCATGGTTCTCCCAAAGGTGCTTCTCCAACAGGCAACCGGACATTCTGGTTCTTCTCAATCAAAGAATAAGATTAATTTCACCATTTTTCCAGAAAGTACAGTTGCCTCTTGAAAAAGCACCTTTGTCACGTTTATCCCTGTAGACTAGTGTCACCTGTGAAAGGACAGGCAGACAGACACAGCAGGTTCTAAACCGCCTCTCCGTCCTCCCTTCTTGGCCCGCCCCCGTCGTCAGGACGACCCAGCTGCCAATCAAACAGAAGGGCAGGAGGCGCGAAGGCAGGAAGAAGCAGCGATGGCCGTTTGTGAGCTCTGCCGGCACGAGGCTCCTGAGAGAAAGGCTGAAGGAAGCGACCCAAAGTCCAGATTCAAGAAAAGAGTGAAATTTAAATTAAATTAAATTAACTCAGGAGAGGCGACCGCGAAAGAGGCAGCAGCTGAGGAAACCGGGGAGGGAAGACGCGCTTTTTTCCTTCCCTCAGAACCGGCCTGAGGGGAAAATTTTTCCCTCCGAGGCAGTCAAGGGTCGGGAAGAACCTGGTAGAAAAGGTGAAGAAACATAAAATTAAACCAAACAAAACTAGAAAACGAAAACTGAAAGAGATTTTAAAAAATTGAGCTCGGTAGGAAAAAGAGTGACCGTTGAGGCACGTGAGCATTAAGATGACACAGTCAGAGAAGTCCGCCATAACCCATAAGCAAATATTTTGGAGCTCTCGAATGGAAAGATATGAGGATATAGTGAAATTGGGTTTTAAGGAATTTAGTAGATAGGGCATATGGAAAATGGATAGTTAAAATAGAGAATGGTTTTATTAATTTCTGAACGAGTTGAAGACATTTGTTAATTTAGTTTTATTGGGAAGCTTTCCCGTATTAAAATAAACTGTACAAAAAGCTAACTAAAGAACACGTGAAGTGTTAATGCTAATTTATAAGGCCTTGGTAAGGCCACACTTTGAATCCTGCATCCAGTCTTGGTTGCCATGATGTAAAAAAGATGTGGAGACTCTAGAAAGAGTGCAGAGAAAAGAGCAACAAAGATGATTAGGGGACTGGAGGCTAAAACAAATAAAGAACGGTAGCTGGAACTGGGTATGTATAGTTTGAGGAAAAGGACTATATATATATTCTCTATACTGTAAAAGCACATTTCTGGGTAGTTATTTGTAGATTTGCATCCTAAATCATTTTGCTGCGCTCATCTATAGATCTTGCAGGGCTTATTACGGAAGGGCATTTCCAATTTAAAACCCCATCGATCTATAAAGGTTCTTCTGACTCCTTTGCCAATAAAATTGTATCATCTACAGTACAAGTCATGTTGGACTAATAGAGGCTTTATAGACTCAAAAGTGCCCTTCTTTGCTTAGATCCAGTTGGAAATTCAAATTCCTAAGGTTTGCAGATTTCATCCATACCTTATGAAGCTGTATATAAGTCTAAGTGCTCTTGCTGTCTTCTAATATTTTATTTCTATTTAAAAAATTCATCATTACATACACTCTTCATTTTGGGAAGAACAAAATAATCTACAGCTCATGAATTCAGTGGGAAATGGTTTAGAAAAATTTTCACATCTGAGACAGTTGTATAATCGAAGTAACTTCTGAGTTTCAAGAGAGCAAACAGAAATGCCGATCAAGTCCCATTAAAATTAAGTGAGTCATTTTCTGTTTACAAGTTCAAAGAAAATACGTTTTCCCCCACACCCTTTTCAGGTTTGCTTTGACTGCCTCCTGTGCCATAATACACAAATTGTGCTTCAGTGGAATTTTGAGTTAATCCCTGATTTAAATGAACTTTTGGGAGAATTTATAAAATATATCACACGTATAAACAGTATACAGATAAATAACCATACTAAAAATAACAAGCGCAGTTCACTTTACTGATGGAATACATTCACACATTCTGGAAGAATATGTTTACAGAGCTAGAAAACAGTTTTGGTGACTTAGATGGAGTGTTTAGGGACACTGCAATTTAGAAAATTATCCAAAATTAGAACTGAATCTAATTATAATATGGTCAACATTAACAGTATTCAGATGTTGAAACCAAATATCTACTTGCTTGAAACACTCAGAACTGGATCTCATATATTCTGAGTTGATGTGCCAATCAAAAGTTGTTGCCACTAAGTCTATGTTGACTTGAGTTGACCACATGGATTTTCTCCAGGAAGATCTGTCTTCAACCATCTTTTAACCATCTCAAAGGTGCATTCACTGTTGTAATCAAGTCCATCCATCTTGCTGTTGGTTCTCTTTCTATTTTTCCAATTAAATACTGGGTCATCAAACAGCAACTCCATTGGGTAAATCTTGATCAACAGATTAAATAGGACTTCCTAATTAAAAAGCATCATCTCTGTCTTGCTTCCAATAAATATATCCTTGCCTTGACATTTAGTAAAATTTATTTCCCATTGGAAGAATGAAAAATCTCTTGAAAAAGGCTATGCCAGTTGACCCTTCCCCTTCTTCAACTTGGATAACATTTGTAAACATATAGAAAGCAACTATAATCCTTTCAACTTTTATTACAAAGGAAGCTACCATAAATAATTACTATAAATATTAAGAAAAACAAGAATGTATTCTTCACAAACTCCAACTGGAAAAAAGACATAATTCATATGACAGTGATAAGCTCTAGTCTATCTCTACAACATACACTTTAAAATTGAGTCAGATTTAGCCCTAAAGAGACCCAATCAGGACTGACATAAAACAGAAACTCTATTTGGTTTGGAAGCCAAAACAAACCACTGTGTTCTCTAACTTCTGCCCAACTATTTTGTTTTGGCCATGGTTTAACAGAAACATAATTGGTGGTTTTAGGTTTGATCTGAAACAAAATTCAAGGGATCCTAGAGCAATGTTATATGCTGAATGCAATGAGACTGCCCTCATCATATTCTCTCTCCCATGAGCAGTTCTCAGTCCAGTGATCGTCCCTCATCGTCTCTGATTTCTGTAGCTTTCCCACTCTTAAATTCATCATGAGCATCTTTAGTTAAAAGATGTACTTCAGTTGGCATTCAAAATAAAGAAACCTATTTTGTTTTATCTAGAGTCTAGACTAAAATTTTATTTGACACACCTCAAGGTTAAACTAACGCAAGCTGATAAGGGCAGGAGAAGAGAACCTCCCTGAATTTGTCCATGGCAATTCCATCCTGAATCCTGAATCATTTTTTTTTCTTTCAAAAAATTATTTCGTTTGGATAAAAAAAAGGAAATGAGGCAGGAAGCAGAAGCCTCCTTCCCTTCTTTGGAGCATGAAATGGCCATGAGTATGCAGATCCAGGCACCTGTGATTACAAACTACCAACACACATCTTGGGACCTACAGAAAGCAAGAAAATACATTTAGGTTTCTCATTTGCATTTCTGAGGTCCATGAGACTTCTCTGGACATACATGATCCTTCTTGTTTTCTAAGTGTTAGTCTCCCAAAACTGCCCTGGAGTCACCCAGCCTCTAAATTTAAAAATATTAGAAGGCTGTAGGTATTTTGAGAACAGAGCCAGAGGATGAAAAAAGTTTTAAAAATAATTATTTCTGTGACATTTACAATATTTTTTGCACCTCTTTTTCTACAGTCTCCTACTAAACACAGAAAGGTGACAAAATTACTTCACCGCTGCAATAAAATACTTGTTTAAAAAGAAACCACGATCAAGAGGAAAAGGATAAATTATACACCTGTAATTCCAGAAAACGCTGTAAAAAGATTTACGTCACTACAGAAATAACAAGACTACAATAAACCTGTAACATGTCTTAAGTAACTTTTGAGAACTTTCAAAGACTTATTGGCTGAATGAGAGATCCAGTTAAGAGATCAGAAAAAAGTGTGTTGACATTTTATTTACTGGTATCAGATTAAGAGCAGCTTGTGAGTAAATCTCTCCCAAAGGTTTCAACCCTAGTAGATAATAAAACCTTTTCCATCTGGAAGAAAATCTGATTGTTGGATGGTGAAAGTTTCAGGAACAAGAAATAATATTATTATTCAGTAACATAATACTTCAGATTTTTCTCCTATCAAAAGGATGTCATTTGAACAAGTCTGCCAATTACCAGCTATCTGGTATCATCCTAAGAGATTTTGGATGGGTCCTGTTTAAGCTTTTCTGTTATCTTGAGCAGGCTTCAGAAGATCTTTGAAAATGAAGATAAGGAAGTCTATTGTAATTCATCAAAGAGCATCAAATGCAACAGGGAGAAGAAAAGGCAACAGTAGAAGCCACCTAAGATATTACAGGCATCATTTTTGCATGATAACGCCAATGGGTGTGGCATTCCTGGCCCCACTCATAAATATGTGTGGAAAGATGTATCCTTTCAAATTCTTACTCATGTCTGAGTTGATATTTCATATCACACATTGTCACAAAAAGAGAGCCTTCTAGAAGTCCTTCTGGGTGAGATCCCCGGTCAATCACAGAATGTAATTGCCTTCTGCAGTTCTGTCATGGGTAGCTTCCAGTTGACTGATCCCATTCTCCACTGCATTGTTTACAATACAAATATCGATATTATATAATCAACCAATCATCGGGGGGAAATGATTGAAGCTATAATTATTTGTCAATAATAACCTCAGTTTCCATCCAGATGTTGCCAGGAGAGAGGGTTAGAATGACTCTCTGTTTTTCCATTATGTCTCGTGGTTCAGATTATTCACAAACTGCCCCAGATACCAAAAGAGACAATATTTATCACCGGTTTCCGGACCAAATAAAGGAGATTAAACAATTGTCAGGATACAAAGAGAAATAGGAGCTCTCAAAGGGAGCTGAAGTTTCTGCAACCACATCTCCATTTTGGCTGGATGCCGTGTGGGTGGTTTCGTGCTGAGTAAGTTGGTCCCTATATTTAAAGTCCTTGCCACACACTAAGCAGTGGAATGGGTTCTCATCTGCATGAGTTCTTTGATGTGAAGTCAACTGATGCCTAAGGGCAAAGCGCTTCCTACACTCCAGACATTCATACGGTTTCTCTCCTGTGTGGATTCTCTGATGCTTATAAAAGTTCCCACTCATCCGGAAACTCTTCCCACATTCCATGCAGGTGTAAGGTTTTTCTCCAGTGTGGATTGTCTGATGTTTATAAAGGTTCCCTCTCTTGCTGAAGCTCTTCCCACACTCCAAGCATTGATAGGGCTTCTCCCCTGTGTGGATCCGCTTATGGGCCGTGAGGTTACTGCTCTTGCTGAAGCTCTTTCCACACTCGAGGCATTTATAGGGTTTCTCCCCTGTATGAGTTCTCTGGTGTGTATTTAGACTTCCGCTATTGCTGAAGCGCCTTCCACACTCCGTGCATTTGTACGGTTTCTCTCCAGTGTGGATACTTCGATGTTGGGCAAGATGTTGACTGCGGCTGAAGCACTTCCCACAGTCGGTGCATTGAAATGGTTTCTCCCCTGTGTGGATGCTTCTGTGCTGGATAAGATGCTGGCTGCGGCTGAAGCACTTCCCGCAGTCCACGCATTCATAGGGTTTTTCCCCCGTGTGAGTTCTTTGATGGACTGTCAGACTGAAGTTCTGCGTGAAGCTCTTTCCACACTCCAAGCACTTATACGACTTTTTCCCTGCATGAGTCCTCTGGTGAGAAAGCAGGTGGCTGCTCATACTAAAGCTCTTTCCACATTCGAAGCATTTGTAAGGTTTCTCCCTTGTGCATGGACTCGAAAGCAAATTATGATTGAAGTACTTCAGAGGGGGCTCCATGCACTTCCTGGTTTTCTGCCCATCACCTGCTGGAGAGAGAGAGAGAATAGAAATTTAAAGCAAAACTGGAGAAGATCATTAGAGAAGAATCTTCTTAGTTGCATTCTATATTTCTGCATTTCCATGCTCCCTGCAGCTTTTCTAGGTGTTTCTTGGTTTATTATTTTACAGTGTTTGTATCTTACACATGTATAGCTTTTACTCTTACATGTATCTTACATGTATAGCTTTTGGGCAGCGCACAAAAATAAAAAATGCATAATATGGAGAATAGCCAGGGATTAGAATCAGAATAGAGCTGGAAATAACTTTTGAGGTCTTCTAGTCCAGCCTCCTGCTCAAGCAGGAAATGCTATACCATTTCAAACAAGTTACTGTCCAGTCTCTTCTTAAAAACCTCCAGTGATGAAGCACCCATAACTCTGATGGCAAACTGTTCCACTGGTTAATTGTCCTCACTAATAGGAAGTTTCTCCCTAATTCCAGGTTGCTTCTCTCCTTGATTACTTTCCATCCTTTGTTTCTTGTCCTGTCCTCTGGGGCTTTGGAAAATAAATTGATCCCCTCCTCTTTGTGGCAGCCTCTCAAATATTGGAAGACTATTTTCTTTAGACTAGTCAAACCCAAATCCTACAACCGTTCTTCATATGTTTTAGTCTCCAGGGCTTAAATCAATTTAGTTGCTCTTCTTTGCATTTTTTTTCAAAGTCTCAACATCTTTTTTGTAAATATGGTGACTAAAACTGGTTGCAGTATCCCAGGTGTGGTCTTACTAAGGCTTTACAAAGCAGTACTTATACTTCACATGATTTTGATTCTATGCCTCTGTTTATACAACCAAGGATTGTATTAGCTTATTTTTGGCTGCTGCCACACATAGATGACTCATGTAAGTGATCCTCCACTAGGACTCCAAGATTCTTCTCACAGTTACTGTTTTTGAGCCAGGTTTTGCCTAATCTGTACTTGTATCTTTGGTTTTTCCTGCCCACTTGTAAAACATTGCTTTTCTCCACATTAAATTTCATTTTGTTGGATAGGGCCCATTGTTCAAGTCTGTCAAGATCTTTTTGGATCCTGAGCTATTACTGATTATAGATTATTGCATTCACAATCACATGAACCAAAAGCCTATTGAAATTGAATATCATCAGAACTAAAGGAGTTGTGAGGCCCTCCATATTTACAGGGGCAAACCCATTCCAACGTATGGGGCAGGGGTGAAATGCTCCCAGTTCGGACTGGATCGCCCGATCCGGTAGCGATGGCAGCGGGTGGTTCGGAGAAACGGTAGCAAAAATCCCTGCACCCCCCCCCACCACCATGCCCAGCTGAGCCGCACAATCATCAGAAGCTTTTTTTTTTTAACTTTTAAAAGCATTTTTTCTACAACTTCTTCCAAGGAAAAAATGCTTTTAAAAATAAAAACAAAAGTCTCTGATGATCGCGTGGCTCAGCTGGGATCATCAGAGGCTTTTCAAAGCATTTTTTTTCTGCAACCTCTTGGCTGAAGAGGTGGTAAAAAAATGCTTTGAAAAGCCTCAGGATCCCAGCTGAGTTGCCTGATCGGCAGAGGCTTTTCAAAGCATTAGAAAAAATGCTTTGAAAAGTTAAAAAAAAAAAAAGTTGGCCACGCCCACCCAATCACATTACCCCCCTCTCACCAAGCCATGCCCACAGAACCGGTAGTAACAAATTTTACATTTCACCCCTGGTATGGGGCCTATATAGTTTTAGCTCCTGTGCCCTGAAACAGGGTAGTTTTTGAATATGCTGCCAGTTCAAACAATATTTTTAGGCCCAATTTTCACTTGATTTTAATACAGATGCATTTTCCCCATTTAATTTATGATACACATACTGGTATCATTTTTCAAAATATAACTTAATGAGGAAATGTGTAAGGTCTGGAGACAAGAAAAAAAACCTGCAATAAAAAGAAGGGCCAATTGGAAAAAGGCTGCCTTCCAGCCATTGGTTTAAACTTTCCCAGTTAGAAGAATGGTTGGCAAAAAAACAGGCCAAGATGATTGCAAATCCATATTGTGTGAGAATAAGCTGCTGTAGCAAACTGTAAAGTGGATTCCACATCAGTTCCAAACGCAAATACACTCACCAACAGCCCGGTAAGATAACTGACAAGGATTTACCGTGAATTTACTTTTGTAAGACTGAAATGATCCAATACAGTAACATTTCACTGCCTCAAGGTCGACTCAACCTTCCATCCTTCCGAGGTGGGTAAAATGAGGACCCAGATTGTTAGGGGTAAAATGCTGACTCTGTAAACCGCTTAGGGCTGTGAAGCACTGTGAAGCGGTATATAAGTCTAAGTGCCTTTGCTATCTCCATTTTACCAGCTTCCATTCAGCAGACTTTAGATGGAACAGACTACATCTGAATTCAGACTTCCGGGTCAAACAATAAATGCATGTTGTAACATTGATCTACATTAATTTGGAGGTAAGGAGTCCCGTTCTCCTCAGGTTGCCTGCAAAACTGAGTTGGCCTCTTTCTCCAAGAGAATCTCGATTTAGAGCTACTGTTTTTCAAGCACTTTCCCTCCAGTGGGATACTAGTGAATCTTGTGAGCTCCTGTTCTTGGGCAGACATCACAAATCTCTTAACCACATAAAACTGGAATAAGCATGTGGCAGAACTGCCAATCCAAAGCATGGCACTGTGGGATCACCTCCTCGCAGTTTGCATAACAGAAAGAGGAAGGAACAAGAGGATAGATATTGGGATCCACGAATCCCCCAAAAAGGGATATGCCAAATGGATCCTTTAAAACAGGAGTCTCCAATCCCTGGTCCATGGACCGGGACCAGTCTGCAGCATGCCAGAAACAGGCTGTGCAAACAACCGAAGCCCCAACTGTGGGATGAATACAGCACACAAAACCACACTACCTACAGTCCATGGAAAAAACTCTCCATGGAACTGGTCCCTGGTACCCAAAAGGTTGGGGGCTGCTGCTTTGGAAATCTATCAAAGTTAAGGTACCTTAAAAAAAAAACATTCCCACAACCAGCAGAGAAACAGCTCTACCAGAAGGGCAGCTCTTGTGCCATTGATGTGCCAAGGAATTAATGCATTTGAGAACAACAGTCAGAATCATCAGGCAAAACTTTAGTTCTTCCAAAAGTCAATTTCTGTTGGCAATATTAAACACCATCTGAAAGATACTTCAGGGCACTTTTCACCCAAAATCCACTGACTAGATTCCTGCTGATCTCTCACCTTCAGAATTCCAGAAGAATGGATCTTCCCCTTCCAGCCAGGAGACAAACTCTGGTTTCGGCAGTTCTTGGAGGAAGCAAGAGGGAATAATTACTTCTAACTAGAAAATATTTCCCCCCCTTTATCTGAACCCAGATGTTCCCTTACCTAGAGAGGCCACACTCCTAGCATTCTCCAGCATGACTTCCCCATGGAGGGCCCTCTGGTTGGAATCTAGAAGGTCCCACTCTTCTTCGGTGAAACACACAGCCACCTCCTCAAAAGAGACAGAACCCTGAAAGAAGAGAAGATCCCCCTTACTTAGAGACAAGTCAGGAAGAATTTCCAAGAGATAACCAGTGGGCATTTTCTGCTTGGGGTAACAGGAGAGAATGGACAGAATCCACTGCTTATTAGCAACCAATTTTATAACACTTTCGACGCCATTTAATGAAAGCAACTGCTGCATCATCTTTCTCAATCAATGGGCAAATGGGCACTGCAAATGCCACAATTCAGGGTCTCCAGTCCTCACTCAGAGAAGTAAAAATGTTGGGGAGTTCCTGTCTGATCTTTAGCCAGTGGCCTGGGGAGTTCCCCAAGGGTTACACGCTACCCAATATCAAACAATGTCATGGAACACGGAAATCGCATCCAAGATTTAACAAGCTGCCATCAATACTGTAATATTAGATTTATACTTTGCCTTTCATTCAGGGGCTCAAGGCAGCATCTGTTCCATTCCTTTTGTTGTGGCCCGTCAGCAGCCTGTGCAGCTACTCAGGCAATTTGCAGGGAACAACTTCGTTCACTCTCCTTTGCATCTTGATCTTACTTCTCTTATCAGTTTCCTGCAAATTGCTTCTGGGCATTCTGCCAACCATAGTAAGATTACGATTATTTATTCTTTGGATTCTTGTAGGCTGTTAATAAAGTTAATTAACAGCCTTTGTTTGAAAAAGACTGATTTAATTTAGTAAACTAAGGTTTGTACAGACTTTGTGTGTGCTGCGTCCTTTGGGGTCCGTAGCTGGGGCAGAATACCTTTCCAACCCTATGAGGTAGAGCAGTCCAGGAAAAAAACCACTGACCCAAAGTAACCAAAGGAATTAACTTCTCTTTTTCAGCAAAACCAGCCCCCTAGCAAACAATTGGTTCAGTTAATTGCTCAACAACTGGAGCATTTGCTTAACAACCATTGCAAAAAAAAAAAAAAGTGATAAAATTGGATCAGTCACAAAGATTTAATTTCGTCATGACTTACGACCATTAATGGGCAAGCTCCATTATGGTTGCAAGTCAAGGATTACCTGTATGACTCTCCCCATGAACCTCTTAGGAGTGCATCTGTTAATATTTTCTATTTTATTTTGGCAACATTTCAAAATAAAATAGGACTTGACAGGTAAAAGCAGGTTCAAGGGAGGGCAACACAGGTGATTCAAGAATTACAGGACACACTTTAGGAGAGGGGTGTCAAACTCGATAACATCACGGGCCAGATCGTGACGTAGCGTGATGTTTTTTTTGCCTTTGTGAAGCTGGGGTGGGCCTGGCCTGCGCGGGCCGTATCTGGTCCTTGGGCTCTCAGTTTGACAGGCCTGGAGAAAAGGCTGAAGGTACTTGGGATGTCCAGTCTGAAGGAAAAAAGAACGAGGGGAAACAGAGTACCCAGTTTGAGGATCCAGTTTGTGGCGGCAATAAGCTGACTTTGTATAAATA